ATCGAGATAATGGACATGGGAAACGGTACCTGGTCTACCTCGAAATAACGCGCGCGACCGAATTACCAGATCCCCGAAATACGGTAAAATTAAAAACTCATCCCCGCCTCTAGACGAGAACCAACGTAATCCGGCCTGGTTTTTAAGGTTTAACACCGGTTCGCGGTTCACGGCGACACGCGCGGAATTTCGCCGGCCAATTAAGCGTAATTTTTCCACTCCAACTAATTTGCGTTATAGTAATTCAAAGCTTGCGGGATGTGCAAAACGCAATTCACTCGACTCGAGTGGCATAATCCAGATTCACCGTTGTCCGCGGAAAAACTGGTTCCGAGGTGTTACGCGTGCAACAGGATTGTTCTAGATTCCAAGGCAGGTTCGTTCAGGCGTTAAAATTGACCCACGAGTTTCAGATAATATCATAATTGTTTAACTATACGGTAATGTCGACGAAAAAAAGAAGTAAAGAGTCTCATAGCAACTTATCGGCGAGGAATTATACCAATCACAAAAGTACGTGTGTAATTATGACACATATTTAAAGTAATAATAATATCGTAAAAAATTAAATCTTTCAATCTTCATTTTCATTGCAAATATCAAACATTAAAATATTAATAAAATCTCTCACAATCATTGTGCAATTCTTTAATGGCCAATTTTGGAGATTAATTAAAGTCATAACTCCTGATATTAAAATATCGTAATAGCTTCGAGCCATAAGTGATTAAAGTTGATCGATGATATTACGTGTATTTAGATCCGTAGCTGTGTTTAAACGCCTATCAGTTTATCAGTTTATTGATTTTCATAATTTAATAAACTGTGTAATTACTTATCGTCTCTTTAATTATCGAACTTTGATAACAAACTTTTAGAATCATAAGCAATAACAAAATACTGCCATACTGTAATTATTTTTTCTCTAAAATGCACTACCAAACGTTAATTTAATCCATGAATAAATTACTATCAAATCTCTCATTTGCATATAAAGTCTACAACCTGTACCTGATTTTGTTTTAAAAAAATTGAGCATTTTGATTAGGAATAAAAATTCTACTTACCTAAACGTTGATTGAAAATAGATTATTTTCGTAATTGCTTCGTAGTTGTCCCGTTATTGCTCCTTCACGATATTCACATAGCACTCACTCGTGAAAGAGCGGTTAATTACAATCACGAGCGCACTAATTATCAGGATACAATCATCGCGCGACACTCTGCACGGTACTCTGGATTTTAATCACGTAACGTATACTTTGTCACGTTGCGAGGAAAGAATTGCGTGAAAAAGGTAAAACGAATAAATCTGAAATAGCAGAGGGTTTTAACGAATCACCGACGTACAAACGCTACATTTATGCTGCGAGATTCACACGAGTATATTAAAAAAAATGTGAAATTAATTATAACTATGTTTAATTAAACTAAATGTCGCAACGCTACTTGATTCGGAATCAACCCGTTACGTAACCGTTACGTTCCGTTAATGACCGTTACTCCACTTACTCAATTCAAAAATTAATGGATAAATTACATTTAAATTGCGGAAAAAATTCAAAGAATATAAGCGATGCAAGATATCTTGAAGAAATAACTATCGACCGTGAATATCGCAACGATTTATAATTCCTTCCCTCTACCGCTTTGATTCCGGCCTCGCGTAAGTAACTCGCATATAAAATGTGTATCGATAAATAGGAAAACGCTTATAAATCATTAAACGCAGGAATTAATCAACGATAATCGCCATTCATAAAAGATTATCGCGTTTGGTATTCTTTGATACTTGTCACAGGTAATGCGACACCGCGGAGCACGGAGCGGCTCACGCCGCTACCTGCCGGCTCGAGGTTCGCCGCACGAATGACCGAGCGACGACATAAACAACGGCGTGCTAATACACTGTACTTAATAACAAACATCAAATTCGTGCGTCAACCGACTTGTTTTGCCCCGAGCATGAAATAAACTAGATATACGCCGAATAGTATGTTTCGCGAATATTAAAGTAGCGTTATTAGAAAGCGACGTGGCACACGGCTTCTCGTTACTTATTCAATTCAATATCATTCCGTGAGGCATGAATTAAAAGAGGGTAGAAATTATAAAAAATCGATGCGATATTTACGGACAATAGTATTCCTTAAACTTTAAATGTTTCGGAATTTAAATGTAATTTAAATTAAACGAAGTATAGGCTCTCTAGACTAAATCAAAGGAAATAAATGAGGCAATCGGAGCCAAGCGCGATTAAATGTAATTTGTCATCATTATTTTTTGAATTCAATAAATGGAATAATTTCTGTCATTAACGGAACGTCACAATGATGAATTGATTAAATCGAACAGCTTTACGACACTTAATTTTATTAATTAATATCTTTTTAATGTATTCATGTCAATCTCGCAGCATAAATGTGGCATTTGTACCTTGGTTCGTTAAAACCGTCAGTCGTTTTAGATTCGTTTGTGTTGCATTAACTTTTCTCACGCAGTTCTTTTGTCGCAATGTGAGATGCACATGTTACGTAATTAGAGTCGGAAGTTCATAAAATGTCGCGCGACCGTCACATCCTGATAATTAGCGCGCGCGCGATCGTAATTAACTATGTTTTTGCAACTGAATATTGTGTGTGAGTGCAACGAAACAACCTGAGAAGAAGAGAAGGTCTGAGAGTCATCGGGTAACGGCGAAGCAACTACGGGGTAATTTATTATACGGCCTCAACACTCTTGTATTAGGATTTTTGATTTTTATTAATCTCTAAAATATACTGTTAAACGTTTATATGGCGAAACCTTGTATATAATATATAAACGACTATTATAATGCGTTATAACATGAATATAGAATATTAAGTCGAATAAAAAGTATGTTTCACGTGACATATTTTCCATGCGACTCTCGTCGAGTTTCACGAATCTTGAAATGTTCGATCGAGAAAACAATTCATATCAAAAGAAAAAGAAATTAGATCTGCCACATATAGGTTTGCGAGTACAACTTTAACGCTGTCGTTATCGCGTTTTGCAGAAGAAAAAGCCGATCAAATATGCAAAAGTCCGCGTAAAAAAAAAAAAAGCAGAGCGTCCGAACGCGAGCGAGAAAGACGACCTAAGATAAAACCTGCATCGGCACTGTCGAACAAACTACCGACGGCTACGATATCGCGGCTATTTATTTCGGCGGGGTCGCATTGGTCTTCCGCCGAACTTTATCCTCGAAACAATTCTACGACCGAGAGTTACGGAGCGAGATTCGTGTTCCGCTTCCAGTTTCGCTTCCTGATAAAAGCGTCGGTCGAAAAATTCAAGAGATACGGGAAGCGGCAAGTAATTTATATCACCGTCTCGAGTAGCGTGTGGAAAAACCCGATAAGCTTGGATTTTCTCGAAGAGGAAACATCGCGGAGTCTGGATTTAGGTTACCATTTTAAAACCAAGCAAAGATGCATACATTTATTTTTTCTATTTAATATATTTAAAAGTTTCGACTATATTTTATAATTGCTTATATTTTCTTATTAAATGAATTTAAATACGTAATAATACTGTTAGTATACCATACCTAAAACTGAAAATTATATCGACGATAAAAAAAATTAAACTGAAAAATAGAACAATCGCGCGTGTACAGGATCTCTGACCAGCCTGCTCCTTTTCCTTAGTCTTTCTTTTTCTTCGAGAAGAAAGATACCGCGCCGAGAAGGATAGAGAGTAACGTGGCCGACCACATAGTACATACAAAATCCGGCTCCAAGCTGGGGTAAGATAATAAATATGCAAAAAGGAGGAGTTTCGATGCCGTAAATAAAAACGAGCGGGCTTGCGTGCTGGCGCGAGAGTCTGCGGTGAGAGAAGATCGCGCGCTCCGAAATAAAAGGACGGCAGGGTGGTGTAACAGAGGGTGGAGGAATGCGAAAAGATGGAGGAAGAGGAGGGGAGAGGAGACACAAAGGTACAGCCATTCTCCACCTTCGTTCGCAACAAGTCAAGCGCGTGTTGTAATCTCTTGATTTAGTTCGACTTAGCTACGATGAATGAGTCTAGTCGGTACTTTTCGTCGATTCGGCAAGTTATTCCGAGGCAAGGCGACAAATCCAGGACAGAAAGCAAGGGATACAGGCGGCGGTTAGATCGGAATCGACGGCGGTTAGACAATCATTCGACAGCGATATTCGCGTAGGACGTCTCTATCGACGGAAGACTGCATACGGCGCGAGCTAAATTTGGAAGCGGCGAGATTCCTCATCGATCTCGAGCTCGTTCGAACGCCATTCATAGCGCGCAGTCTTCGAACGATCGAACTGCTACATTGAAATTTATTTGCGTATCTTCCAAATAATTCGTCTACATAGGTGCGATTTTCTTTCGCTTGACACACCGTCTTAAAAAATCTTGGAGATCACAAAGATAATATAAATATAGATACATAGAAATTTTCTAATATCATATACGAACGTTGTTTTATTAAAATTTGAGATGGCTGAAAGAGGAATGTGAGTGAGATCACAGAGATATTCGCGGGATCTGGAGCTGTCCGACGACCAACAATTTTATTACTAAAATTAATTAATTAAAAGTCATACTGTTTAAAAAGTGAATTTATACTGAAATAAGCGAGACAATCTTTATGGAAAGTCTACTTTACCGTGAAATAAAAGCTTGTATTTGTTATCTCCTGCATTAAAGTAAAAATATGTAGTTTTGGACACGTACTCATGCATAAAATTCGAACAAGCGAGAACCAAATAGTGATGTACCGAAGTGATTATACGGACATTGTTACAAACTTCTAATACCCTCGTTTACTTAACGCTGTCGTTTTGCGTAATAATGTTCGCCGGTTAATACGCAATTTTAATCGGATATTACAACATAACAACGTGTAGTAAGCAGCGCTCTATCGTCGTATGTTGTGCAGACAAATCGATAGATCATCCCCGGTTGCGTACCGCGCCAGGGTATTTCGCTACAGGGTATTTCGCACTCACCTGTACTCGCTGTCGATGCCGATCTTGTTTCCGCTGCCGCCTCTCCAGTTCCTCCTTCCTCTCGATCAGCGACCTTATCTCGACAGCCGCCACGGGAGCCGTCGTATCGTCGGGCACATTGCCGCACGAGGGTAATCTTCTCAACGTAGGAATTGACTCCTCCTCCTCCCCCTCGCTATAACTTTCTACCAGGAGTTCCGAGTCGCTCTGGAAGTGAATTAATTCCATTCCTAGATAACGAACCAGGCAGGGATCGGATTTATAACGGATTGAAAATTCCGAAAAGAAAAATCCCGACCTTTAATTTCGCTTTGACATTTCGTAATTACTCTATCGTCACTGTTTACATGACGTTTACAAACTTTTGATATTCGCGCGATATCCACTTTTATTGTTATATGCCAGATCAATTGAAGATAATTTTAAGATAGACCATGGTCGTTCTTTCGCTGCTTTAAAAAATTCGGATTAAGAATTTGCTGGGACTCCCAGCAATCCTCAGCGCGCTGAATGCGTTTTCTTTAGAAGGAGAGGAGGTGGGACTGTAGATTTACGACAGTTACCACTTACCTGTGTCGGCGGCGAACTCGGTGAACTCGTGCTCGAAGCCTCGACCACGGAAACATATTCGCTGACGCCGGTCTCGCTTTTCTGCAATTTCAGCACCGGTGTCTCCAAGCCGCACAAGAACACTTGACCGAAGAAGAGAATCTTGCTTATCCTGAGGCACATCTGAGCCACTTCCTGAAAACACGTTGCGAGTTTAACCAACCCGTGGAAGTCGAGCGACCCCGCGCGCGGATATCCCGGTATATAACACTGGTATACTAAAAGTCCCTTCCGGAACTTTGAAATATCTCGAGATAGGAGACTCTGTTTTAAGCATATTTAAAGTTTGTTACCAACAAGAAAAGCACGTATCTCGCAGATACGTATATCAGTGCAATTACTGAAGATATTACACAATGTAAAATTACCATATCTTCTGTTTTCTCCACGTAGCAAGGATCCTGGGGATTCAGCATGAGAGGAGTGAATCCAGCCAACGTGATATCTTCCGGTAGTTTTACGAGTTCCAAGTCTGAAATCAAATGTAGAAAACCGGTGTACATCCTTTATGCACGAGGATCGATGCTCCTTGTAGAAAGTTTTGCGATCGTGCCAAGTCAGATCCTCTTTCAGAAGCATACGAATAGACCCTGAATTTACATTATGATCGACGCATAAAGATCTATATCACGTATCGCGAAAGGAGCTCAGACGTTTATGCAGCACGATTTAAAATCGATAAAGTGTGATCGCGTAAAGTGTGTTCTGACGATCCGTTGTTTTTCATGTCCGACATTAAGATTTTATAATGCAACATGTGCGTAGATAAATCATCAACAATAAAATTGCACTTAGCAATAAAATCGTATAATAGTGATATTTGATATTAGATATTTTTGTCAATAACGCACAGAGTTCTCTAAACCTTTTGCATCTACACTTAAAAAAAAAATCTATACTAAGCAAATATAAGCGCAAATAAACGCGAATGAACAATTTGCTTAAGTGCGAACTCATTATCGCGTCGCCAGTACTGACGGCGCTGTTCGCCGTTCGTCGAAATAAGTTATTCACTCGTCCACGTTCATTTACTTCATCTGAATCCGTCTTTAAATACTTAATTGTTTAAATTTAAGTAATTAATCATGAATAAACTCAATTAATTGCTAACAACGCTTCTGGGCAGGTAACAGTAGCGTTAACGAAAGGCCGAGATCGAATTACGGCTTTGACAAACTTATTAATTCTAGTCAGCCATGTGATCGGCCGTACCCTCGCCGATATGCGCGTATAATGATATTCACTATGAGCCACGCGTATTGACGTCCGCGCATACGTACTCGGTTTAGAGGTAAGTGTACCGCGAGCAAGGACGCGCCGTGAAACTGGAACGCTCGTTTCCAAGCGACCGGACCCGTTGGAAGACCCAGTTCGAGACCGAACTCGCGATCGCGTCTGGTGATCTGTCGAAAATAGAAAATTTTGCCGCGTATTCCGCTCGCGAAAAGCGTACGCACTCGCGACCGATCGCCGTGGTTCTTGTCGGTCTGCCAATGATCGTTGACAACTGCTATTAGAACAATCCTCAAAGGTTCAAAGCCGACAGAACTAAAATTAGTTTTAGTATCGAAAAATATACAAATCTAGCCCTCAACACTTTTGTGATAAATAACATGACGCTGTGTCCTTTCGTCACTTTTGAGAACCATTAATGTAATATTCTTCTCGAGCAAAAATTGACCCCAAAAAAATTATATTTGTGCTATTTTAGAGAATTTACTCTAGAATGATAAACTATCGTCAGTTCTATCTCCACAGCTTAAAGAGTTTAATGAGCCGGTTGGACGTATCGACAATGCATGCTAAATTCGTACAGATGTAATCACCAAAAAATCTGCGAAAGATGCAAAGCCGGGTCGTTTTCGTGGCGAGGTCTACACGTGAATGGGCTTCGAGGCAATGCAATTTGTGTATTCATAACATGCGCGCGGCATGCATATAGTGGCGATGTAGCTCGCACGCACGCTGAAAGACCATTGGCCACACGCTAGTAAACGGCTGCAAGAGAATGGCATTGCAGTGGTCATGTCGAACGTATTCACCGTTACGCAACCGTCGCGCCAGCTATCTACGGGTCAACAGACCGGGCACCGGCTTCACCGACTTCGAGGAACGCGACTTTTTCGATTAAGTCTGGTCCAGGTCAGCCCGCGAGAATCGCTCGCATCCCATCCGTGCGTTTCGTTCGGTTGCCATTTCTCTCACTGTTCGCGCGCGCTGTCCGCGTGAGCGTTGAAAAATAAACGTTATCGAGATGCAGAAATAAATAAACTTAAATTAATGGACTTCACTACTATTAGTTAATCATAATTAGCAATGAGTGAATTTGTTAAAATTTTTCGCTAACAAAGTAATAACTCTTATATTAAATAATGTTAGAGAATTTGTTAAAATAAGGATATAATTAAAATTTTAATTATATCCTTTTTCGATTTATTTGAGCTCCACTTTTGTGAATTATGTAATGCTATTGAACTGATTTTTCCGACATCACAAATCGAATAACTTGTTTCGATTGGTTTCGTGATCGGACATATTTCGCACAAATGTGAAAAAAATTAAATTAATACTGCTGACTTGTGTCAACTTCCGCGATGTATAAACAATTCTGACGATTTTTTAATTTGTTCTAACATGTTTCTCTTTAGGTAAAACAATCGGCAATTGTCATTGGGTTGGGCAGAAATTATTTTCGCATAAAAGATAATCGGAAACATTCCTTTACCTTCTTCACGATCTTCCGTATCCTTGCCTTGGATTAGAGTCGTCCTGGTGTAATTTAATTTCTCTAGAAGGTTCACCATCGTCGCCAGTCTGCTCCACGCGTCTCCTGGCGGCCTGCAACAAGAGGATCGAATTATAAGCTTCCTCTAAATTTCGTAACATTCATTAAGAATAGCTAAAGTCCGAAGGAATGTTCACGGCTGCACGTCACGATGAAAGTCCATCGTGATTTGGCAAAACTCAAACGAATTCAATCGTTCTTCTAATACATAATTCAAAGCTAAGAATGAGGAAGGAATTCGATAATACCAAGGTCCAATTCTTTCTACATGATTAAACCGAGCTCGCTTCGGAGATTGAGTCATCGATCGAGTGATTTATAATTTACGCCGCATTGAATTGCGGTATAATGATCTTTAATTCCCTAAATTATATTTTTTACCGGGCTTTCGAAGATTGCTTGACGCCACTTTGGCGCCGCGAGGCCGACGAACTTCTTATACCTCGAAATAATATTCGGGACTAATTTTCTACGGATTTCAGATTCCTCATTATTGTTTTTGTAAGAGTGACGGCGTAAATTGCCCGACAACCCGTGAGGTTGCCGGCTGTGCAAACAACACTTGCTCAAACATTTGCTTATGAAAAAAAATAATCAGGTAAATTGCTACTTGATTTTCTCTGCTACCGGCTTACCTGATGGCGTGTACTTAACACGAGGTAAATATTTTCGGTTCTGGATCATTCGTCACGCGACGAATTTTTACCACAAGGGTACCACAATTACCGTGTTCGACGTGACCGAGGCTCCCGAAGAAATTCCGTTTGCCAAAAATACAGTTTCGATGCGTTGCACGAAGATGCATCGAAATATGTCGGAGATTCGCGGCTTCCGCGTGAACGTGACGAAACGCACGTTCGCATTTTCGCACGCCTTCGCGTGGGGGACGTATCGCAATTTCGCGTATTTACGGGGAGATACATAAATCTGAAATCCGAGAATGAGCGCAATAAAAAAAAACGGGCAACTGATAAAATTTATATCTAACCATTTGCGGCACTCGAAGGTGGTGTCGCGGGGGAAAGGAACACGGGTCCTCGTACGAATGTGATATATCCCCGCGCGACTATTCATTAGCAATGTCGAGAATTACGTATTGAAAATTATTACGGCATAGGGACCCGCGTAATGCGCGCGGTGGATGATAATAATAATAATAGATCACGGATTTATACATTTAATGTACTTCGTATGACCGGCGGCGGCTCGTTCCGCCGACGTTATTAATGATCTACCCGCGGCAGGGCATACGTTACCATTTACCACTTCCGTATTACTGTAAAGCCAAAGTCGCTCGTTCAATTAATTCTTTCGTCGCGCATAGCGGCTCTAAGAGCAAATTCTCATTGTACAAAACAAGAGCATTTAATACCGGAAATATGCAACGGTTATATTCTTTATGTATTAATTCTGTGTGTTAGTGCTTCTTTACGAAATAAGGCGACATTACTTATTGCTCGCCTCGCATCATAAAAGAACGGACTTGTCATAAATTTTTGGCGTGTAAACTCCGTTCCAACATGCAGGTATAGAATCTCATATGATACATATGCACGACCACGATGACGATGCGCCGAAGGAGATCACGTGAGAATCATAAGGGGATTTTACCGATCGCTTAATTTCGCGACAGAGCAAAAGTGCGTGCAGTTTCCGGCGCGATTTATCGGCCGGCGTCACTAAAGGTCATCGATTAATCGTGTCTGCCATGGGACTCGCCATCGCGAAATCCGCGTCCACGTTTGCAGCATCGAAATGGTCGCACGCCGTTCCAAGTGCAACGATGATCAAGATCGAGAGAGGATCGGCAATCGCGCGTCTCGCGCTGCGCGGCGTCCTTGTCAAGGAAACGCTTGACTCACGTAATTGTTAATCGCTAACGAGCAACAATGATTAACCTATCCCCGGCAGATAGTAGCTGTTGGTTACGCAAAAAAAAAACCTGCGTCTCGAGACCGACGTTACGAGAGAGAACGAGAGACAGAGAGCAAGAGAAAGAGGGGAAGAGGGAGCCTTGAGGCTCGTTTAATGGACAGTAGATTGCATCAGTCGGACAAGCGTGACTCTCGCGCTCTTATCCCTCTCTCTCTCTCTCGCTCTGTCTCTCTTACTGGCTCTCTTATTCTTCTTTTATTTTATCTCATTAGCGAAACTCGCGCCGAGAAGCGACGACGCGCCGTGCGTCGATAAGATGAACGGCGCACTGCTCTCTCTCTCTTTCTTTCTCTTCTCTCGTCTTCTCTGCGAGCGCGCACGAAGCGCGCACCAAAAAGTATTCGCTCACGTTTGCGTATGATCAATTCGAAACGCGCCGACCCGGCCCCTTTGTGAAATGCTGGCCTGCGGAGCTCACGAGCATTTGCAGGGCGTCGCGATTTTCCCGTGCTGTTAGGTCCCTTATTTAATGACGTGATTCAGCGCGGGGCACGTTAGAATTCGGGGGTTCAACGAGTTCGTACATACAAAAAAGTAAATCAAAATATTATTCTAATAAGTTTTCAACAAGTAGAAAATTAGAATAAAATAAAATCAGATAAAATTGAAAGATCGTAAAATATTGCGCTCAAAAGCATCATGATTTCAACTGTTGTCTAATAAACTTCACGATATTAATTTTTTATATCATTTCTCTGTAATATTTGTCTTAGATTCATTTATCTTTCCTTAATTCAAAACTGTACTATACACTAAACATGCTAATTACGAGTTCCAAGTTAATATATTTTTATATATTTTTAATATCACGCAAATTTCAGTTAAAGCAAAAATTCTATGTCCGTTTAAGAAACAGCTGTTTACGTTTATGTACAATTATACAATTAGCTATCCACTGATAATTTATAGAACTCCCGAAATACTAGAAGTACTATCGGTATTTTAGACATAAATTAACGTGATACTTCAGTACCTTGCGCCAGTGACCTCCGTGATAACACATTGATCCGTCGTTTTCCTTCTTTTTCGAAAATTTGTCAATCAAATTGCGGCAGCGGTACAAGAATTATAAATTAGGAACGGAGCGAGACATTACAATCACGAACACGTGTCGCGCCACGGGAACGTCGTTCGACCGCCGCCGCCGCGGGTGTCGCGACGTCTTTACCTGCGAGTTTCTCACACCGCGCGCGCGATTCGCCGGGGCATCACCGCGCGAAGAAATTAATAGTCCGATACAACAGCCATAATTCAAAACACCTCAAGTGTCAACCTGAATTAATAGTCGCTACGCGCAGCTGCGACGAAGCCGTGGCCGAATGCGCGGCGCGCGAGTTGGCGAAAGCCACCCTACAAATCTCCTTCTCTTATCTCTCCTCCCTCTCGGTGCCTTCGGAGGATTAATCCGTTCGACAAAAGCGCGATGTAGACCCACCATATCTCGCGCTCGTCCGCGAAACTCGCGCTCTCCTCGTTGAAATTAGAACCGATGCGGTAATAATTAAAGCGGGACAGTAACTTATGCATTCGCGCGACGAGCGCGAAAGAAGCGGGTGATAGAAATAGTGCCGCGAGAACCTGCGCAAAACGCGCGCGACTTGCGAGAGAGAGAGAGAGAGAGAGAGATCGAGCCTCGATACGCGATGCAGCGGTTGACCGTGACCTACGCCACGCTCACTTCCATCACCTCTCCCCCCTCCCCGCCCCCCGTGAGATATCAGCTCTCGCTAGAACACGCTCATGTCTATTAAGCTGGCACCGGCCGATCGAATGAGACGTATACAGGAAATTTGATGCTCCCTTGTCAAATTTGTCGCTCTGTCTCCGATTTCGCGCGTCATTCCGTTCCGTTGAAAACAGTAGCGTCAAAATTCAAAAGTAGCACAGCCGCACGTAAACAGGATGGAAGATTTTTGAAAGCCGGAGTGCCCGAGGCGTCTTCAAACGAGGATATAATTTATTTCGCCAGTCAAATATTAGATGCCAACACGGTAGCACTTTGTGCACGCTAATGATCTTTCTCGCTCCCAGAGTCGAAATTATCCCAAGGCCCGCCGTCAATAAGCATGATCGCGTTACATATCGCGTTACTAAATATCTCGTACGCAACAGCTACGATCCTGAGGCTAAAAACGTTCGGATAACAATTATTTTCAAATTAATATCGTCTTTCATAATAATCTCAAAGCATATTCGAAAATGATTAATTTCAGGATCTACAGTATTTATCAATACTGAATGCTGGAGACGACAAAGTTATTTAATCTCTAAGTTGTTATTAAGTACGTTCTTTTAATCATACTATAAATATTCTTAAATTTGAATAAGCTATAAAAAAGTTTTATCTACTCGGATCTTAAAAGTTATATTTAATTTACGTATAATGATTTGAATTATTGTTTTGTATAGTTTCTCTATCTAGTTTTCTCGTTACATTAATTATCGAGTAAATATGGCTGAAACAGCTAATAGAAATATATGTAGATTATTCAAAATGACAATTACTAATAAAGTAATAAATAGATTCTTGAATCCCTCACTTGAATTCCTCGCAATCCATCATTTCCGACATTGCACGTCGGCCTCAATAAATGCGAACTTTTATACGGCGCAAATTCCTCTGTAAATGTCGCATTCGCTGGAAGCCGATGGGCCGGTTCGAACCACACAGACCGCAAAACCGCAGGATCGGAAAGTTCAAGTATATATCGAACAGTTCTGTCGCACGCTACAGTCCTGGCACACGCGATAATCACGCGCTGGCATCTAACTTTAATCCCGAGGGTATATGACTTCGCGACGCGCGGTTAATACGCGCAACAAAGTTGTAATTAATCCAAGACGGGGCAGTTCGTAAGCCAAATGAAATTTATGTTGCGAAACAATATAAAGAGATTAGGGACACCACCAAAGCCGAACACTATACGATGACTAAAGGCCGCGTACACGCAAATCTCATTTCCTTTATTGGGTTTAACATTAAGAAACTTACCCGACTCTGTAATCCGTGCAAGACGGCGGAGGATTCCAAACGGTGCTGTGGCAAAGCATCCAGTCGCACCAGATCTGCAGAAACAAACGTGAGAACATAAAGTTTATAATTCCGTCAATTCCAAATCAATGTATGTGTAGGCAGAGCCAACGCAAGCCGAATGTCGATGCCGATACGCAGACAATCCTTTCAATTAAATTTTCAGAAGCAATTACTTTTATAGAATTCGAAACGTTTCGATCTTGGTCTATACTTAATGAGAGAAATAATGACAACTTGGCATTAAAAGAAAATGCGAGAGTAATTTTAAAAAATTATTTCTTAATAAAAAAGATTATGCACAAAAAAAATAACATCGCAAAAAACTATTAATAAAAACATTTAAACAGTAGTTACGTAAGAGGAGCCAAGCAAAAGTCCCAACTATCTCGAGTCGAGGACGTTCTCGAATTATGTTCTCTTCCTAACATAAAAACATCTTATTTGAGGAAGATACTTTTTTTCCCAGATTTTTATTTCCCTCATTTATACCTTATCAAGTTTTTAACTGTCGGAGAAACGCGCGAAAGTACCTCGCTATTTATAGACACTCTCGCGAGATGCTTTTTTCATCGAGCACGTCCATCCATCCTCATAAAGTGAAACATATTCCACAGCGGCCTTGTATCGCGTCTACTTTATCGGCAATATTAATGGTCTCACCTCAGTCGTAAGCGCGAGTCCGGCTATTATTCCTTGTATCAGCTCGCATTCCGATAGTAATCATTGTTTCCTTTTTTTTTTTTCTTTATATCTTTTTCTCGCTAGCCAAGAAATACATAGTGGCTATGCAGACGCGCTAATTTCACAGCACGTATATTAGCAAAATTATCTAATAATAATTTAATGCCGTAAAATCGAGTTAATCAGTAACAATCCGTCATTTTCCGTGATTCCGAAAAGATTGTACGACGTATAACTTCTTTTATCGTAAAATTAACACTTATTTAAGCACTTCAAGCTTCATTTCAAGCAACATCCTCAATCACTTTTTTGGTTATTGACCTTATTCTTCTCATCTTGTGTAGCTAAATCACTAATTACCGTATCATTTTACGATCAACTTTTATATGGCATAATACTAAGTTAAGAAATCGGCAACTTCAAGGTTCCCATGTCTGCTCACAAAGCGATTACTAATCGATGAAATGTATGCACGTTCGCGATAACGTGCGATAGGTGAATTAATTGTGAATGTTGAGTTGCGTAACAAGTCGCGACGCGATCGGATCGGATTCTGGATCTGACATATCGGCCACCAGCGGATGCGTGGGTGCGAAACTCTCTCGCGGCGCTTCATAAATTCTCCGATGATTAAGCGCGTTCGAATCTGGGGAGGGGAAGGGCTACGACAGCGATGGGAAGTAGAATCGGATCGAGCTGACGAGGAAAACCCGGCGCCTTCCAGATTGATGCAGCCGCGACCTGGACCAGTGATAATCAACCAGCGGCCCACCATAAATTATCCCGTGGGAACCGGGAGCGAGTAAAACAGCTACAGCGACGAACGGGGGACGAAAGCTCTTTTTTACGAGTACGTGCGTAATATTTGTGTTGCCTCTCGAGATATGAAAATATCGCGATATGACATATAAAATAGCACGAAGTTGAAAAGTTGACCGCCACTGCTCCCAGATCTAATTATTCCGTAATGGCGAGCTACGGACGATGGACGTGATCGAGGCAACGTTTCGACTCGGAAATTGACTTACGCTCGCCGACTCGCGTCGCGAAACGCAATTAAGACTTCGCTCAACCGATACGTATTGATGGGGGAAAGAGGGGGAAAGTACCTTAATAGCCGGTAGAAGCACTTGGAGATCCTCGCCGACCACCAGCCTCGGTTCCTGCTCGCTATCTAGCTGAGCTTTCAGCAAAGATACACCACGCTCCAAGATCAGGCTGAACATCTGCAGGGATACGACGAGCGCCCGTTCTTGGACCTCCGATCTGTAGCCTTGTTCCATCTGGGAATCTACAATCAAAAATCAAGATAATATAAAATAAATTTATGTACCGTTCACCAAATCACGTACAGAGGGATCTGAACTAAGAAAAATGTTGATTTCGTGAAAACAAAAATAATTTTCTAAAAAAGTAATAGAGATAATATATGTCACTTTATACTGCAGGAAGCATAATCTTAAGGCTTTTATAGTCAAATATAACTAAGATCATGTATAGTTAAGATATATTTAAGGGTTTTTTTAGCTGCAGAATAGTATCCTCTCTTTCAATTTTTATTGTAGTTTTATTTCTCTCTGTTACGTCCTATAAAAATTTACTTCTCGAGACTCACGATTTTTATAACCGTATTCAAGCAAGAAGTTTCCTCGAGAGAACTTTATCTCTCTCACAATACCATTGGAAATCATGAGAATCGTCGCTGAAGAATATCATTCCGATTGATTACAAGCAACGACTCGCGGAGGCAGAGAAAGAACGCGCGAGGGTGCATCTACTACGCGCGGCAATATCCGGACGGCAAATTGGTGCTGATTGTTACATTGTAGAGGGGAAAACGCGTAAGTTAATGCCGGTAGCGATCACGTTTCGGTGATGATGATGATAGCTGATCGATGCGCAATCTATTCTGCGTCGCGACCGGATTCGCTATCGGCGACCGTGCGTTTCTCTCTTCGAGACTGTCATTACGCGTTGTATCGAAGCTACGTGACGGGACGGGGCTCCCGGCGGATTCAGAGAAGCCGAAGGTCATGGCACAACCTTCTACTGCACTACCTCCACTTCCATCGAGTCATTTCGAGACCGTTTCCCGAAGTGGTTCCCTCGGAGGGACCGGTATATAATGAATCGATCCCCTGGCAATGGAAAACAATTCTCTCGGAAAGGTCAAGCGATATCATCTATATGAGAGCAGTTTAATTTGCAGTAACGGAAGCGCTCCGAATATCGCCTCCTGTAATTCTGGCCTTCGAGGGTGGAGATAAGCTTTAACTACTTCGTCTGCTCAATTACCTTCAAGCCGTAAAAAGTGCTATTTCGCTATAAATATTATTTTAATTTCCTGAAAGCGCGACAGTTGAAAGTTTTACTTTTTTGGAAAGAAATAATAAAATTAAGAAGTATAGGAGCAATGTCCGCAGGACTATCGTTAAATCTCGGAATGTCTCAAAGTGGAATTAAAAGGATCAGTGGCAGAATAGAGATAGCAGAATTAAATTTATCAATATAATGTTGGGAATTCACAAGAATAAATAAATAAATAAGAGCCGGAAAAGGGGCATTGAAAAATGAGGCTTTTAGCTTGCATATTAATTTCCGATAATTGACATACGAATATTTTAACATCGATTTCCAAGTGATGCCTTATGCGATCTCTTTCATCTTAAACTATCGGACGTTACTGCTTCGTGGATATTACGAATATTTGAATATCATACATCTTCAGCGAAAATCCCGTCGCTGCTTTATGCATCTTTATTAGCAGGCTACAGCGAAAGCTAATTAGATAAGCGTCGCTAACGATGGTGTAATGGATCCGCTCAAGAACGCCACTTATCGGGACTACTGGCGTTTATCGCGAAAAACGAATAGTGTAGCGAGTAGCGAGTACAGCAAGGTAGATACGAGTCCTCTCTACAGTGTATATTTGCTATTAAAAAAGAAGAAAGTTATCTACAAATCTTTTAAGATTTGAGAATAAAGCGTAAAAAGCGTTAGACAAGAGCGATAAAACTAATTATATAGGATATGTAAACTATGCAGTTATGCATTATAAAAATCTAAAATAATTTTGTGCATACGCCAAACGACAAAACATCCTAAAAAGGAAGGTTAGCCAGGGAGGAAACTTACAACAGCAGATAGACTTCGCATGCATTAGTCGTCTCTATTTTTCGCTTGCCCATAAAAGTTGTCGGCAACTCTAAAGACGTCCGAACATTCCGCTCACGCGCGATAGTAAGGGCGTGATTTCACGTTGCGCGTGTGTGTATGTGTGACGCGAATTAACTCTGCAGAATAGGAGGCTAACGCAAATCTAACAAGCGGGAGAGTAGCGCACCGTGCCACGTCTGTGCCATCCTCCATCAAGCGTCGTGCATACGCACAACAGCCATATTCGAAGGTAGACTCTGGCAGTTTAATTTATCGCGGACAGGGATAATAATTAGCGTTTAACCGCGAGGTCGCCCCGAGAAAGCCCGTGTGGTCTTCTACTCATCGGGGATTGGGAGGGGTGTAAAAGGTAATTAGTTAGAGAAGATTTACAGGGAGGGGCTTTTTTGTTTTTAACTAATTGCCACCGCGATCATTAGCGAAACTCAGGCGTATCGTCTCGCGTCGACTTGTACGATTTCCTCGTCTTTCGCGCGAAAAAAAAACCAACAATCTAACTACGATCGTTAATCCGCGAATAAATGCACCATAGCCGCAAGGTCGCCACGCCATCTCGACACGGCAGAAATTGTAAAAATATATTTATAACAATCATCAATGTAACACTATACCGAGATAGTGGCAAATGACGAGTTTCTATCTGAAATATACCAGGTATACACAGTAGTTCTCTTCGTACGAACATCGCGAGGCCAACGAACTTCGCAAAAGGTGCGTACACTTCCTCTTATCGAGATCCTTAACTAACGAGGTAAACGCGACAATCGAGATCCCGCGCGGAGCGAGAAGCGCTTTTAATGAAGCCGGTGGGTAAGTTCGGTCTTCCTGTTTCCCGGACCGATACGCCGCCGTGAAAACGGACGGAATCGAGTTAGCGAGCTGCGCGCAGGTAATTCGATTATTAACGATTCTAACAGACACATCGCGTCTCTAATTTAAATGGATTCGCGGCGCGCCATCGGGATATTGCGTTTTCGCGAGATATTCTCTTCTCTTTAATTTCAAATAACATAGAAATTTAATAGTTATTAGTTACACCTGTTTACCAAAAATTAATCCAACAATTAATGCACCAACTCTCAAGAGAGCACGTTTACGTTCATCTGTTTCTTCGCTTTAAAGGAATTTTTTATGAGTTAGTACATCTCACGTTCAGCAGAAGAATAAAAAAAATACCTCAGACGTAACATTACGTAACTCGTATTTAAACGTCTTCTTTCCTTATTACGCATTCCCCAATTTCCTTTTGTGCATGGAGAGGACTTGTTACGTTTTTAGTGTCCGTTTTTACATATCTCTTCAGGCATTCGAAAACGATCGTTTTTTTTTCTCCCGTCAGTGTTTTTGATAGTTGTTGGGTTTTTAAGTGGTTAACGGTAAGGACAGTAATAACCGATCGCTGCGGCAGTATCAACGATACCGTTGTCTTTGACGGATGTTTTTTCGAACCCGGCAAATCTCCGTGGTATACATACGTATGGAGAACGCACTCGTTAATTCAGTTACCGCCCCATTCCCGCTAATAACGACTAGGGGAATATGAGAGAGCTATTGTTTAAGGATAATCACGTCTTAATGGCCGGCAGGAGAGCGTAATGTATCGTTAAATGTAGCTATAATGCGGAGAGCAACGGGGCCCGCGCGAAGTGTAGGATGATTTTAATGACCACGAATATCTCGACCGAGTGTTTTACGTATTATTTAAGCAGCGCGCGGCGCAACGCCCGCACACGTACGCGGATACGGACGCGTAGAACAGCGCGCTCGTTCTGCGGTTAACGTTTCAATCCTCGCTACTGCGTTTTACCTGCATTTATCGTGCGTTGTACCCTCTGCAAGTCGTTAACGGCTATTATAGAGATATTACGGCGGCTCGCACAATACCGTGCAACTTCCATTAAGTTGAATCGACTCAGAGGAAAGAACATGTTTCTCGCGAGTATTGCTTGATAAGAATATATCAATGTTAATTGACTCGTGAAATATCGATGTCCAGCTGAAGAGATTAATTTAATTCAACACATTATTTTAATATTAATTAATATACTTTCAAAAAGTATTTTTAAGAAATTCCATTGTGGAATATTTAATCCTGCTCCATATTTCACGCATATTAGAAAACAATATCTTTCCTAATACTTTGAACACGATCAAATAATCTGCTTCAAAAACAGTGATGATCGGAGACAGATCCAGTCATCCGAAAAAATTAAATATGAATTACAATATGTATTTCATAAAGATTGATCTAAACTTTTTCTTATTAAAAACAACACTTCACGTTACTACTCGACGATTAAATTGATAATCGCGCAATTTTTCACTGAAACATAACATACTAATCTCGGGATAGAATTAAAAAATCGTGCGTCGCAAGATTAAAAAGTGTTCGAATTTCTCTGGCTGTTCAAACGTACCTACTCCTTTCTACCCCGAGCGATTTGAAATTCGAACAGGTCGTCGCGACGTGTTTCACAAAAGATACAACATTGCGCAATGAATTTAGCACCGACGACCCCGTGGTAATGCCTTTCGAATGACGTGCGCGGACCGCCCGGAGGTAAAGAGGATGAGGTACGAGCGCGCCCGTAAATAATCGGGCATAGGTGAATTCTCACCGTCGACCTTCGCGCGCGCGCGCGCGCCGCGCGCCGTTTACATCGCACTAATCACGCCAGTAGATTAATGGGTTCTCCTCATTAGGCCGGGGCCCGGCGTAATCGTAATCATTTTATTAGTCATTTTATCGATGCACTCGCGTGCTCGCGCGCGCGCGCACATTTTCCAGCGGTAATATCCTGCTCGTGTCACATTACCATACTATTAACATAGTGCATACCTCGCGGCAACAGTTCAACGACTTTAACCCTTTCATTACCCGTGGCTGCATTATTGCGTGCATTATTAACTTTTAACTTAATTTCCGCCGGTCCAAAGGCGCTTCTTTCGATCAAAATTTTTTTACACATACTTTATAACCGTTTATCTCATTGTCCTTTCTTTTTCATGATTTCGCGTGATCGTTATAAGAACACGTCAGGCTCCTCCATAATTTTTAAGGAAACGAGAGAGATTTGGTTCTCTTCTCATTCATTATGGATTAGAGGAGGTCCT